ACACACATATAAAAACTAATTAAAGAAAAAGAAAATAAAACGTGAAATAGCAAGTAAATGAAGGAAAAGAATTATATAAAAATTAAACAACTTAAACTCATTGAAAACTTTTTGAAATTAACCACAGATTAACGAACAAATATTTAATAATAATAAGGTAAAAACAAAATATGTTTGCAAAATTTTTTGACAAACATATTTTATATATATAAAATATATATTAATAATGTATAGAAAAAGCCTAAATGTAGTGGATCTTATTTTAATTACAATAATATAAAGTTTTAAAAAAAGTATATTTAAAAATTTATATATATTTTTTATTTCAAAATGTATCTTTGTTTGTTGAAGAAAGAAATCTTTATCTGGAAATTTTTCAATGACCGGATTGAGGACCTGTTTTTCTCAAAAGAAGTTGTGATAGAGCAAAACTTAACATTTTTTCATAATATTTTCTGAAATTTTTAAGAAATTTTTGGAAAATTCTAAATTCTTAAGTTTGAAATTAGAATATAAAAGAAGTTGATCTTCAATAAAATCAAATTATATATTTATGATTCCTTATGTTGTAGAGATTTTCGAACTTAAATTTGAATTTTCGAACATGACATTTTTGACATAATTTTAGAAATTATATTCAAAATACTATAGAAAGACTATAACACTAGACTGTAGACTAGGACTGTAGACTAGACTATAGACTAGACTATAGACTAGACTATATACTAGACTATAGACTAGACTATAGACTAGACTATAGACTAGACTATAGACTAGACTATAGACTAGACTATAGACTAGACTATAGACTAGACTATAGACTAGACTATAGACTAGACTATAGACTAGACTATAGACTAGACTATAGACTAGACTATAGACTAGACTATAGACTAGAATATAGACTAGGCTATAGACTAGACTATAGACTAGACTATAGACTAGACTATAGACTAGACTATAGACTAGACTATAGACTAGACTATAGACTAGACTATAGACTAGACTATAGACTAGACTATAGACTAGACTATAGACTAGACTATAGACTAGACTATAGACTAGACTATAGACTAGACTATAGACTAGACTATAGACTAGACTATAGACTAGACTATAGACTAGACTATAGACTAGACTATAGACTAGACTATAGACTAGACTATAGACTAGACTATAGACTAGACTATAGACTAGACTATAGACTAGACTATAGACTAGACTATAGACTAGACTATAGACTAGACTATAGACTAGACTATAGACTAGACTATAGACTAGACTATAGACTAGACTATAGACTAGACTATAGACTAGACTATAGACTAGACTATAGACTAGACTATAGACTAGACTATAGACTAGACTATAGACTAGACTATAGACTAGACTATAGACTAGACTATAGACTAGACTATAGACTAGACTATAGACTAGACTATAGACTAGACTATAGACTAGACTATAGACTAGACTATAGACTAGACTATAGACTAGACTATAGACTAGACTATAGACTAGACTATAGACTAGACTATAGACTAGACTATAGACTAGACTATAGACTAGACTATAGACTAGACTATAGACTAGACTATAGACTAGACTATAGACTAGACTATAGACTAGACTATAGACTAGACTATAGACTAGACTATAGACTAGACTATAGACTATAGACTAGACTATAGACTAGACTATAGACTAGACTATAGACTAGACTATAGACTAGACTATAGACTAGACTATAGACTAGACTATAGACTAGACTATAGACTAGACTATAGACTAGACTATAGACTAGACTATAGACTAGACTATAGACTAGACTATAGACTAGACTATAGACTAGACTATAGACTAGACTATAGACTAGACTATAGACTAGACTATAGACTAGACTATAGACTAGACTATAGACTAGACTATAGACTAGACTATAGACTAGACTATAGACTGGACTATAGACTAGACTATAGACTAGACTATAGACTAGACTATAGACTAGACTATAGACTAGACTATGACTATAGACTAGACTATAGACTAGACTATAGACTAGACTATAGACTAGACTATAGACTAGACTATAGACTAGACTATAGACTAGACTATAGACTAGACTATAGACTAGACTATAGACTAGACTATAGACTAGACTATAGACTAGACTATAGACTAGACTATAGACTAGACTATAAGACTAGACTATAGACTAGACTATAGACTAGACTATAGACTAGACTATAGACTAGACTATAGACTAGACTATAGACTAGACTATAGACTAACTATAGACTAGACTATAGACTAGGACTATAGACTAGACATAGACTAGACTATAGACTAGACTATAGGACTAGACTATAGACTAGACTAGACTTAGCTATAGACTAGACTATAGACAGACTATAGACTAGACTATAGACTAGACTATAGACTAGACTATAGACTAGACTATAGACGAGAATAGACTAGACTATAGACTAGACTATAGACTAGACTCTAGACTAGACTATAGACTAGACTATAGACTAGACTATAGACTAGACTATAGACTAGATCTATAGACTAGACTATAGACTAGACTATAGACTAGGACTATAGACTATACTATAGACTAGACTTATAGACTAGACTATAGACTGGACTATAGACTAGACTATAGACAGACTATAGACTAGACTATAGACTAGACTATAGACTGTCTATAGACTAGACTATAGACTAGACTATAGACTAGACTATAGACTAGACTATAGACTAGACTATAGACTAGACTATAGACTAGACTATAGACTAGACTATAGACTAGACTATAGACTAGACTATTTAGACTAGACTATAGACTAGATTATAGACTAGACTATAGACTAGACTATACTATAGACTATGCTATAGACTAGGCTATTGGACTAAAATATAGACTAGACTATAGATAAGACTGTAAACTAGATTATAAATTAGAATATAAACATGACTACAGACTAGACTATTTGATTTCTTTCCCATTTTAGATTAAACAGAGATGTTGAGCTACCGATCCCTGGAAAAACAGGCCGCTATCTATACAATTTATTAAAAAACAGATTCAAACAATTTCTTATGTTTTCTTCATTTTTTGGTTTTGATTTTTTTTTATAATTTGCAAACAAAATCTTTTAAGTTACTCAAATAATAAAGAAAAATAAACGCCAAATTTCTTTATATATTTGTACATATTCTCAATATAATTAAACATACAATAACAAAAACTAATAACTCATTTACTTAAAATAACAAAAATATCATGAAATATAAAAAAAAACTACAAAAATTTAAATATTTTATATTAAATAACAATTTTTATAATATTTATTTTTGTATAATTTAATAATTAAACTTATTATGGAAATATTATTAGAGAATTCTGTTGTTTAAACTTCAATTGCCTTAATTTAAATATTTTTTCTTTTTGTTTAATTTTTCACTCAAAATTATTTTGAGACCTTTTGAAATATTATCCAAATTTACTGTGTAATTCGTTTTGAAAAGAATCAAAAGCGAATTTATTTAAAAATTTATTTTTCATTGAATTACAGTATAAAACATTCCCTCTTGGGTATTCGAAATCAATTGTGTTTGTTTTTACTAATTTTCAAAAAATCTAATAATTTAAAGAAACAAATACAAATACAGCTTAACAATAACAAAAAAAAAAAAATAAAGTAAACCATCTTAGAAATATAATAAAAACATATTTCAATTATTATATACTATTATAAAAGTAAAATAATTATAATTATTATTAATAATTAAAAAAATAATGAAGAAAAAACTAAAATGAAATTTTAGCTAAGTAAGCACAGTTAAACAAAATTTTTAAATAAAACTAAGTTTAAGAATATAAAAAACAAAAAAAAATTTTTAATTAAAATATAAGAGGAATTTCGAGGGTTTTAATAAAATGTTAGAAATCCAGAGGAAACAGGTTTTGTTGTATCGAATTATTCATTTTAAAACACTGTATAACACCAGTATTTCAGTATTTCACATTTCGCCCAGAGATACAAGCCGATGCGAAATGATCGGCGGCGGCGGCGCAACCATTTTGGGTCGGCGGCGGCGGCTTATTACAGAAAATATCGGCGGCGGCTAAATTGTCGGCTCAATTTAACTTTTTCTTTAGAAATTGACCTTATAAGGTTTATTATATTGAAAAATCTTTGTATAATAGTCTGTTACATAGAAACCTGTCTCTATATAAGTTTTTTTCTGCAGAAAATGGACATTTATAGTAGTTTTCACTATTTTAATATTAACAATATTGTGTGGCAACTCTTTTCAATTTGCCATAAGAATTTAAAATAGTGGCAACTCCTTTCAAATTGGTGAAATTTGTTCTGAAATACATGTGCGATTCTAATCTTTATCAGCGGCTATGTTTAAGCCGGCTTAGCTTTTGAGCCGAAAGAAGTCGGCGGCGGCGCGGCTTGCAAAATATTACCGGCGCCCAGCCGCCGCCGATTTGAGCCGTCTCGGCTTGTATCTCTGATTCCGCCAACCAACCATATGTAGAAACATTTGGAACCACTGTAAATAACTTTTTTTTACATGTTTTACAACACTACATTTTGTGGAAGCTATAACTATCAAGTGCTGCCAGATAGATAGATTGAATTGCTTTTGCAGCCATGTTGTCTATATAAATATTATTTATCATAAAAAACCGTTATAAGCTTGAAAAAAAAAACAAAACATTGAAGTTCTCGAATGCCGAACAATCGTACTCAAAATTTGGAGCATTCCTCTGTAGTTAGTTAGTTAGTTACTACAAATGTATGTATATTTTGCTTCCAGGTTTATATCGTAATTGTACTGTGTACTTTAAATTATTTTCCGCAGTTTTAATGCTTTTAGTACAAATTCGGGCGATTTTTTTCTAAGCTAAGCACATCTGGCAAGATATCCAAAAATAAACAATCTGTCTACACTAAACTAAACAGCTAACATATGGCAACACTAAATTTTCACGCTTTTGTGTTTTTTCTACGAAACTTGAAGGAAGAAAGAAACGGCCTGCGTAAAATGTGAAATTTTAACAGATTTATTAAACAAATATCTACAAAAATTAATAAATTAAAGAAAATCTTAGAAATAAATATATTTCTAATTAATTAACATAAAAATCAAAAGAAATTTCATAAGAATTAAAACACATTACGTGATGTGAAAAAAATATGGTGCAACATAACATCTATACAGTGAAGTGAGAAAAAGAAAAAAACCAAACATAAAAAAATTGTGATGAAAGAAAAAAAAAAACGAGACACAACGGGTGGTGACTACAGTAAAATTGTATAAATAATTAGAAAAAATAAATTGAAAAGTAGTAAATTATAAAAGTAATTATATAAATTTAAATTATTTGCAAAGTGTTATTGAAAAATTGTATTTAATTTTTCGTGTGTTTTTATATTTTCGTTCAACTTTAAAACACAGAATCAACAGTGAGTGATGTTTTATTATTTTTGTTCTTTCTTTTTTTTTGAGGTTGGTTAAGACAAGGTGTACCTACACAAAACAAAACACTTCTATTGTATGTACCATATAATAATAATACTACAGTGAAGAGAAATGATGAATACATATAGTTAGTATATGTATGTACAACAAAAACAAAATAAATAAAAAACAACTACTGCTATATATACATACATACATATGTATGCTCTATAAAAGATGATACAAAATTTAAAAAAATAAAAAAAGAAAACAAAACAATAACAACATAAATAACAAAAATAATAACAACAGCAGCAGCTGAAACAAGTGCAAGGTAATTTACCCAATAAGAAAATATGTTTGTACACACACACGCTTTTGTCCATACTACACGAGCAAATGTGTTTACAACAATAACACTTTAATATTAGTATATATTTTAAGCTTAGACTAGTGAATCTTTAACGGCGCAATAAAAAAATTTAGTACAAGCAGCACACGAAAATAAAACTAGGCATTAAAAACAAGAACAACTACAAAGATTTTTTGCTATGCGTCTTTAATTGTTTTTCTTCTTTTGTTTTGATGTTTTTGCTTTATTTAGTTGTTTTGTTTTTGCTATATTTAAAATAATATTTTATTGCGCTTCTTTCTTTCTTGTCTCGTTTTTTGGGGGTGTTTTTAAAAAAAGGAAAACTTACAAATAGGAATAAATATGCTTGCCAGATTCTTAATAAGAAAAGCATATTTCTATTATTCTGTCTGGGGATTAATTACACATGCCAACAATTTTTTAATGCAGAGACCAATGTCTGTTTTTCTTGAGACCAATGTCTCCTTTTCTTCAGACCAATGTCTCCTTTTCTTGAGTTGCGCCAAATCCGAATCCTGTAACATTATTGGAGTACATGTTATTTTTTTTAACAATATCGTCCATGTTGTGAATCACATAATCTCATAATTTTAGTAAGGGTTTAGTTTTGGGAATAGTCTGATACAGGCAAATGCCACGTTTAATTAACTTATTTGTTCATATCTTTGGATTAGTTTTTAATCAGTTTTTTGGTAGTACTTATTATTATTATACCTATTATATTTTCTACTATTTTGATATCGGTATATAATGGAGCCCCATGCAGAATCTTCTTAAACATTAAATTCCTAATTTCTTGAGTTTTCCTTAACATCTGGCTTCACTCCACTTCTCAAGCGTTTTCTTTCTATCTTTTCAAGAGCTTCTCAAAAACGTATATCGTAGTATTTCGTAATTATTATTATCTTCTTCTTTGCCTTACATTACTTACATACTAGTAGGTACATCATCATCCTTTTGATGTACATGTCCTTTTTTCAAGGCTGCTGTTGGGATGTTAAATATTTCTCACACACTGCTAGCCACATACGAAAATGAAGACATAGACAACAAGATTTACTCGTATGTCCTCCTCTTAATTTCATAACAATTTTTCCAAGTTTTTTCTGGTCTTATAATTTGTATTCAATTTACTTTTGCTTTCATTTGTTTTATTTTGTCTATTTTCCCTTCCCATAATCATTTCGTTTATTGTCATCATCATCATTATTATGTTTTTTTCTTCTGCCAACTCCTCATATGTATGCATGTTTGTTGTTGTGATAGGGAGTGTGTGTGTTTTGATCATTTTTTATAACTGCGCCAAGTTTAGTTTGTTTTTGTTGTAGGTATGTATATTCTTGCTTTTTGGCGAAACTAAAATAAACAACAATTTTATATGGTTGTTTTTATTTTTTCATAATTTGTTTAATTTAGGATTGCCAAGTCACTTTGTAAAGTATTTCAAAAGGGAACAACTTTAAAAGTTTTATTTTTAAAACTTAATACCAGAATCTTATAAATTCCTTGTTTACACTAGATTTTTGTTAAGCTTAATTATGATCATTGTTTTAAATTTCGGTCTGGTAACCCTTTATTTATAGGTGTTATTTTGCTCATACGATACACAAATAAATAATAATACAGAAAAATAACTAAAAAATTAAGAAAAAAAAAAAAGAATTTAAAATTGATAAAATGTGTGGGACGTAACAACGGCGTCGACGTAAAAACAAAAATTCATATAGTATTTGTTATTATGTTCTGCTCTGCTATTTGTTTTGTTTTTTTTTTTTTTAGTGAAAGAAGAAAGCCGCAAAGCTCTGTGTATTGTTGTTTTTATTGTTACTGCTGTTGTTCTGCTTTTAAGCGCCGTCACACGGCATTCTTTCTGATAATCACTGTTTACGTTTAATTTCAGACATGGAAAATTTAAATTTTGAAATGCAGAGTACTAACTACTACAATGGTACTAAAATAAACAAAAAGAGTACTTTTAGATTTTACAGTACTAAAATAATTGTCTGCTAGAATATAGACTAGACTATAGACTATACTAGACTATATACTATACTATAGACTAGACTATAGTCTAGACTAGACTATAGACTAGACTATAGACTAGACTAGACTATAGACTAGGACTATAGACTAGACTATAGACTAGATTATAGACTAGACTATAGACTAGACTATAGACTAGACTATAGACTAGACTATAGACTAGGCTATAGACTAGACTATAGACTAGACTATAGACTAGACTATAGACTGGACTATAGACTAGACTATAGACTAGACTATAGACTAGACTATAGACTAGACTATAGACTAGACTATAGACTAAACTATAGACTAGACTATAGACTAGACTATAGACTAGACTATAGACTAGACTATAGACCTAGACTATAGACTAGACTATAGACTAGACAATAGCTAGACTATAACTAGACTATAGACTAGACTATAGACTAGACTAGACTAGACTATAGACTAGACTATAGACTTGATATTCGATAGACTTAGACTAGATAAGACTAGACTATAGACTAGACTATAGGACTAGACTATAGACTAGAACTATAGACTAGACTACTAGACTAGATTATAGACTAGACTATAGACTAGACTATAGGACTAGACTATAGACTAGGCTATAGACTAGACTATAGACTAGACTATAGACTAGACTATAGACTAGACTATAGACTAGACTATAGACTAGACTATAGACTAGACTATCGACTAGACTATAGACTAGACTATAGACTAGACTATATAGACTAGACTATATAGACTAGACTATATAGACTAGACTATATAGACTAGATATAGACTAGACTATAGACTAGACTCTAGCTAGACTATAGACTAGACTATAGACTAGCCTATAGACTAGACTATATAGACTAGCCTATAGACTAGACTATAGACTAGACTATAGACTAGACTATAACTAGACTATAGACTAGACTATAGACTAGACTATAGACTAGACTATATAGACTAGACTATAGACTAGACTATAGACTAGACTATAGACTAGACTATATAGACTAGACTATAGACTAGACTATATAGACTAGACTATAGACTAGACTATATAGACTAGACTATAGACTAGACTATAGACTAGACTATAGACTAGACTATAGACTAGACTATAGACTAGACTATAGACTAGACTATAGACTAGACTATAGACTAGACTATAGACTAGACTATAGACTAGACTATAGACTAGACTATAGACTAGACTATAGACTAGACTATAGACTAGACTATAGACTAGACTATAGACTAGACTATAGACTAGACTATAGACTAGACTATAGACTAGACTATAGACTAGACTATAGACTAGACTATAGACTAGACTATAGACTAGACTATAGACTAGACTATAGACTAGACTATAGACTAGACTATAGACTAGACTATAGACTAGACTATAGACTAGACTATAGACTAGACTATAGACTAGACTATAGACTAGACTATAGACTAGACTATAGACTAGACTATAGACTAGACTATAGACTAGACTATAGACTAGACTATAGACTAGACTATAGACTAGACTATAGACTAGACTATAGACTAGACTATAGACTAGACTATAGACTATACTATAGACTAGACTATAGACTAGACTATAGACTAGACTATAGACTATACTATAGACTAGACTATAGACTAGACTATAGACTAGACTATAGACTATACTATAGACTAGACTATAGACTAGACTATAGACTAGACTATAGACTATACTATAGACTAGACTATAGACTAGACTATAGACTATACTATAGACTATACTATAGACTAGACTATAGACTAGACTATAGACTAGACTATAGACTAGACTACTATAGACTAGACTACTATAGACTAGACTACTATAGACTAGACTACTATAGACTAGACTACTATAGACTAGACTACTATAGACTAGACTACAATAGACTAGACTACTATAGACTAGACTACTATAGACTAGACTACTATAGACTAGACTACTATAGACTAGACTACTATAGACTAGACTACTATAGACTAGACTATAGACTAGACTATAGACTAGATTATAGACTAGACTATAGACTAGACTATAGACTAGACTATAGACTAGACTATAGACTAGACTATAGACTAGACTATAGACTATACTATAGACTAGACTAGACTATAGACTAGACTATAGACTATACTATAGACTAGACTATAGACTAGACTATAGACTAGACTATAGACTATACTATAGACTAGACTATAGACTAGACTATAGACTAGACTATAGACTAGACTATAGACTATACTATAGACTAGACTATAGACTAGACTATAGACTATACTATACTAGACTAGACTAGACTATAGACTAGACTTAGACTAGACTATAGACTAGACTACTATAGACTAGACTACTATAGACTAGACTACTATAGACTAGACTACTATAGACTAGACTACTATAGACTAGACTACTATAGACTAGACTACTATAGACTAGACTACTATAGACTAGACTACTATAGACTAGACTACTATAGACTAGACTACTATAGACTAGACTACTATAGACTAGACTACTATAGACTAGACTACTATAGACTAGACTATAGACTAGACTATAGACTAGATTATAGACTAGACTATAGACTAGACTATAGACTAGACTATAGACTAGACTATAGACTAGACTATAGACTAGACTATAGACTATACTATAGACTAGACTATAGACTAGACTATAGACTAGACTATAGACTATACTATAGACTAGACTATAGACTAGACTATAGACTAGACTATAGACTATACTATAGACTAGACTATAGACTAGACTATAGACTAGACTATAGACTATACTATAGACTAGACTATAGACTAGACTATAGACTATACTATAGACTATACTATAGACTAGACTATAGACTAGACTATAGACTAGACTACTATAGACTAGACTACTA